GCCATCGCCGCTCAGCTTCTTCTTCTTCTTCTATCCCATCTGCTGGGCGAATTGGACCCCTTTTGTGTTTTTCCTTCTGAACAGCCGCCATCATGAGTCCCTGTGAGTACTTTCTCCCGACAGCTTCGTCCGAGCTGCTTCTCCTGCTCTCCCCCCCCGAAAAGCTGTGCCCACGCGCCGCATGGTTTCCTCTAGCCACATCGACCTCGACCAGCCTGCATCGAATGCGGTGCTCCTCTTGCTCGAATTGGCCGTTGAGCTTTCCAGACAGAGCTGCGAAGCCGCATCGCACACCTGAGAGCGCATCATGCTGACCCGACGCGACAGTGCGCTTCCTTGACCTGGTCAAGCCGTTCGTGCCGTTCCTCCCTGAGGTTCAGCAGCCGGAGACCAAGATTCCCTTCAACCAGAAGCTGATGTGGACGGCCCTGACCCTCCTCATCTTCCTCATCATGAGCCAGATGCCCCTCTACGGCATCGTCTCCTCGGACAACTCCGACCCCCTATACTGGCTGCGTATGGTCATGGCGAGTAACCGCGGTACCCTCATGGAGCTCGGTATCACCCCCATCATCTCCTCCGGCATGGTCTTCCAGCTCCTCGCCGGCACCCACATGATCGACGTCAACCTTGACCTCAAGTCCGACCGCGAGCTGTACCAGACCGCCCAGAAGCTCCTCGCTTTCGTCCTGTCCGCCGGTACCGCCACCGTCTACGTCTTCTCTGGCCTCTACGGCCCGCCCTCCGACCTCGGTGCCGGTATCGTCTTCCTGCTCATCCTCCAGCTCGTCGTCGCCGGCATGATTGTCATTCTCCTCGACGAGCTCCTGCAGAAGGGATACGGCCTCGGCTCCGGCATCTCGCTCTTCATCGCCACCAACATTTGCGAGTCCATCATGTGGAAGGCTTTCTCTCCCACGACCATCAACACCGGCCGTGGTCCCGAGTTTGAGGGCGCCGTCATTGCCCTCTTCCACCTGCTCCTCACCTGGCCCAACAAGCAGCGTGCTCTGCAGGAGGCTTTCTACAGGCAGAACCTCCCCAACATCATGAACCTCCTTGCCACCCTGGCCGTCTTTGGCGCCGTCATCTACCTCCAGGTCTTCCGCGTCGAGATCTCCGTCAAGTCCTCGCGCCAGCGTGGAGCTCGCGGCTCGTACCCCGTCCGCATGTTCTACACCTCCACATGCCCATCATGCTGCAGACGGCTCTGTCCTC